TGAGCTCAGCAGTTGATGAGGAAAGCGATTACATATATTCCTACTACTCCAACACTGATGGGAAGTAGTAGTAACAGTTTGTGATAATATTAAAATTCTGAGAGGAAATTCTTATTGGTTTCTGTATTACACTTCCACCCAAATTCATATATAAACTCTTCTGAGCTCAGCAGCTGATGAGGAACGCGAACAGTTATACGTGTTGTTATTGTTAGGAAAGCGGTCGTGCAAATTGTCTCCTCCATATGGCTCGACTTCTAAGAGTAGGAGGGCAAGGTCTGGTATATGCGTGGGCTATGGAACAGGTGAGAAACGATAAAGGGTGGCGTAAAGCTCGGTGATATTCGCGGTGATATGCAGTAGTCGTGCAGTATATATTTCATATCACTAGGGCCGCCCGTGAAACTCCATTGATATCGATGCATGAGGAAAAAATAAATCACCTTTATATATCTAGATTTTCGGAGTGGCTTTCTCTAGTTTGAGAATAATACCAATATAGACTAGGAAACGCTTCTAAAACGTTGGTATCAATCGATTTTCGAATTGCCAAGAATCGAAGTCGTTGGTTATATTATTTCGCATAACGGTTTTCACGAAAGTTTTCACGAATAAGGAAAATTGTTCATATCATGTGCATGCGTGCAAAATGATACTTGGGTGTGTTTTCCTAGGTTGAAGGCTCGACAGGATCGAGGAAATTCTCGAGCCAGGACGTGTTGGTCCCATGGCATCTGCAGAAGAGATATGAGACCAGCAAGGATGGGGAAAGTAAATTCATCAGCTGCTTTATTTGAATTATTTTGTATTATGTTTTGTCCCCTTTAGTTTTTTTGTATTTTCTTGACTTTTGGGTTTTTATTTCTTTGGGGGTTTTCCTTGTTTTCGGATTTTTTTATTTTCATTTTTTCGTATGTTCTTCGTTTTTCTGTATTTTTTTCATTTTTTTGTATTTTCTTTATTTTTTCCTGATTTCAGAATATGCATCTACAATGGGCGCGACTACAAATCCGGAGTTGATCACATATCATCGTTATTATCACGTGTTCACTGAGAATGAGTTTCGAGATATGTTCAGCAAGGTAGGTCCGCTACT